CCCTTGTGTGTAAATTGAGGCAATTCTGTTTGTAGCTATGTAAATACCAATGGGTCATAGTGGGTTTTCAATTTGAATCAGGAACAATTTGTACTATTGTTGTATAATTTGTACAAGTTTATACAGGTACAATTTGCTTCTATTAGATACCATGATTGATTTTTTTTTTTCTGTGAAACCAGAATAATCTTAGGAATAAGCTTCTTATTCTACTGTCAAGTTCTTTGTGCTTTGGAAAGTATGAGGGAGACAAAACTTTCTATTTCCTTTAGGTTTTCCCACAGTTCTTCTCATATTTGCCACATTATTGCTCTTGTATTTTGGGGGATCTATGCATCTAACACTTGAAGAAAATGAATCCTTGGAAAGCTTGAGCTCCTAATACAATACCTGCATTTATAGTCTATGGACTGAATAACTTTCCTAGGATTATACATCTTGGCTGCCCAGTTCCTCATACATGTGTGTACTTCTCTAAAGGCAAGGTATTTCTGAGGTAGTAGCTGCAGATTCTCTAAGTTCTTGACCCAGTTAGTGTTTCTTTTGAGTAAATCACAATTCAGCCTGGACAGGCTGTGGAGCAATGGGCTGAGGTCAGCTGTATGAGGTTTAACAAGGACAAGTGCTGTGTCCTGAACTTGGGTCACAACAACCCCAGGCAATGCTCCAGGCTTGGGGAGGAGTGGCTGGAAACTGCCTGGTGGAAAAGGACCTGGGGGTGCTCATGTACAACTGGCTTAACGTGAGCCAGCAGTGTGCCCAGGTGGCCAAGAAGGCCAATGGCATCCTGGCCTGGATCAGAAATGGTGTGACCAGCAGAAGCAGGGAGGTGATTGTGCCCCTGGACTCGGCACTGGTGAGACCACACCTTGAGTACTGTGTCCAGTTTTGGGCACCACAGTATCAAGAGGACATGGAGGTGCTGGAGCAGGTCCAGAGAAGGGCAACGAGGATGGTGAGAGGGCTGGAAAATATGCCTTGTTGAGACCAGCTGAGGGAACTGGAATTGTTTAGCCTAGAGAAGAGACTGAGAGGAGACCTTATTGCTCTCTACAACTACCTAAAAGGGAGCTGTAGTGGGGCTGGTGGTGGTCTCTTCTCCCAAATAACTGGTGATAGGATGGGAGGAAATGGCCTCAAGTTGCACCAGTGAAGTTTTCAGTTGGTTATTAGGAAGAATTTCTTCACTGAGAGAGTGGTGAGGCACTGGAACGGGCTGCCCAGGGAGGTAGTGGAGTCACCATCCCTGGAAGTGTTAAAAAAACGAGATGTAGCAGTTGAGGCTATGGTCTGGTGGTTAGGCAAATGTTGGAATGAAGGTTGGATTTGATGATCCTAGAGGTTCCTTCCAACTGTAGTGATTCTGTGATTCTATAATTCTGAAAGGAAATAAACTATAATTGCTTAGACCTAAAGCATCAGCTTTTGAAGTGGTGATGTTGTAGTCAGAATCCCCAAGGAAATACAGATTCTTGAGAAACGCTTCTCATCTGCTATTTTTCAATCTCTGAAGTATACAAATATGTTTGAAAAACAAAGTGTTTATGATTATATCTGCTTTTATAAGTTTAACTGTCATCAGCAAACTGGGCACAAGTAATTTTATCTACATTATTTTTGGGGAATCTCTGAGAACATAGGAGTGCTTCTGACCTAGTTAAACCCCTACTATGTTGAAAATTATTATTAAAAAGCCATCAATACTTCTTTGAGCCCACATACTCACTTGTTGCCCAGTAACCAGAAGGATGGAGCCTTCTTTCCCGTGTACCACTTGCCGATAAATGTGATCTAGAATTAAGAGTTCACTCCAGCAGTTCTGAAGCAACTTCATTTGGTCATCAACCTGTAAAGCAAATATGAACGTTGGTGGCATCACTTTGGGAGCAAGTCTTATATCACACTATGGAGTCAGTCCTTCTTTAATGATATAGTTAACATCATGAGAACAGAAATGCTGTCAAAACTTATTCATCCACAAAATTGCTATTCTCAGCTCAATAAACAGGGTACTGCTGAAATCCTTATCCATAAAATGTATAGAATATTTACTACTAATTACATTTTAGGAAAGCAGAACTACAGCACTGTTATGCAAAGCAATAAAGATGGTCTATTTATGAAATGCTCCTGGAAATGGGATATTGTTTTACCAAAAACAAGAATAGCAAAAAGTCCTTGAACCTCTGTTTCTAGAAGGAATCTGCAGATTCAAGGGCATTATTGCTGCAACAATCCAAGTCACAGGTAGGTCTGTTGCAAAGGAAAATGCAAAGAGAGGTAAACACTCCTTCAACTCTAGGTTGTGGTGCTATGAAAAAAGAAAACTTCATAAACAGAAGCTGAGCAGCTTCAGGTGTCACCATTAGGGCAAGAAAGGGCTGTGCACAAGGCAGTAGTGATTAGTGAGACATATCACTGACTGCATTTGGTAGTGGAAGGAACATACTGAGAACCCAGCACAAGCAACTCACATAAAGGTTTTGTCATTTGGGATGTACATACTATAGGAAAACAAAGTATATCACTAAACTGACTCCTGTTGCAACTGGATTACATTCAGTTTTATTCATTGTAAAGACTGAAAAATAATTAGGATTTCCATGGAAATGGAAGAAAAAAAAATCACAAATCTGTAGAAGGTGGACCATGAATTTAAGTCATGGCAAGCATCTATATCCTCTGGACCTGTTCCTACTGAATTTACTGATTCCTTCCTAAAATCAAATGAAGCCTTTGACTTCGGGTGTGTGTATAAAACAGTTGAGAGATGTGTGCATTAGCCTTGTTACAATTAAGTGTTTGGTGTGGATGTAGTAATAGCATGTAAATAAGGTAAAAGGACTCTAAGAACCTTCATAGATAACTCCTGAACAGATTAAAAATGCTATAAATTAGGAGAAGTAAAAAATAAATTAACAAAGAAAATATTTAAAGTGAGGGAATATCTAGAATTTCTGAGTGATAGAACTATTAAAATTGTTTTTCAGAGGTCCCAATTTCAATTGCTTTAGACTAGATTTCACAATGCACAGGAAGCTGCATTATAAAGAGCAATCTTGCATGAGCTGAATTAGATAATGCAAAAGGTACTTTCAGGCTTTACCAGCTATGACCTAATGAGTTTCTGAACTTTATTCTTTCAAGCTTGATTTCTGGTTGTGCAGTAGAGAAAGAAGTAACATTTGTAACTAATAGATTTTTTGGTGTCACACGTGACTGTTACCTAGTATTGTCTCCCTCTTGCCAGTCACTTGCCGTACAGTTTAGACTTTAACATCTTAAACAGTGAACTCTGTGTTTGCCTCCATTCATTTTAACTTCCCTTCTTCCCACTGACAGTCTTTCTCAGCTGTTCTTGTCCCGGTTTCTCACCCGTACATATCTGTCTCAAGTTATTCCCCTTTCCTGCATTGTGCAAGCAAATGAAATTAGGAGAAAAAGGGAGCAGATAAGTATAAAGGTATTGGTGAGAAAACGACAGAAGAACCCATGTGCAGCAGATCATGTTCTCCCACTCAGCCTGCACTGGGACCCTCAGATTTTGCTTTTGCCTGCTTTATGACTACAGCAGGTATCTGTGCTGGAAAACTGCACAACTCATTCCCTCCACTACTGCTTTACCTGGAGGATGACACATGAGGTTTCAAATGTTATTTTTATCCCACTCCCCCTTGTTCTTTAAAAACAAACAAACAAACTTAGCACAACGAAACCCAAGGAAAACTATATTCAAATGTCTGTGCCAAATTAATACCTTCAGGTTGCAAAATCAAGCACTGCAGAATTAGTTAATGCTTGTATTAATACTGTCTGTCCTATTCTTATTTTATCTTCAACCTGCATTTTCATTATAACAGATTCTAATGCATAGACACTAAAGGGCTGACTTAGTGTTGTTGACTCTCAGTTCAAATATTTCAAATGTTTTGCATGCTTTGGCTTTTCAGTATTAAGAATAATCTTTTATTACAGTTGCTGTTCTGCCCACAGTCACAGTTAGTGCATGAATGCTCAAATAACTCCTCTAAGCTACGTATGCGTTGGCAATAGAGAGGGTGAAAGAAAGAGGAGTGGACTCCGTAGGTGGATATATTACCAAGTCAAAGTGAAACTAGTGCTATCACAAACACAGCGTTGCTCAGTCCCTGTGCTGTCTGTGCCCATGACAATTCATTTCTGATCACAGAGTAAGGCTGATTCTGTATTGAAGATCTCTTCTGCCCACAATACATATTTGACTACAAATCCATTTCAGCTAAGTGACTTGTTAGCTCAAGAAAGGACAGTAAATTACTACATTGATACAGTCCCTACCAAAACTTGGGCCAGGTTTAAAATAAAGCATTATGCAAAGAAAATGTTTGAAATTTACAGTACAGTACTCTTGCTTTTCATGTAAAACTGTTTTGTGAACATTTTTTCCTCTGTACAACAAGGCATTACAAAAATCAAAGAAATGATGCTAACATGATAATTTCATCCAAAATTAGCATTTCACATAAAGCCATCAGCTTACATCTGAACAAAGCAAACTGTGAGACAGTTTAAACATTCAGCATCCAGGTCATACCAACTAATACCTGAATAAGAGGTCAAGCATTTGATTATATTATAAATGACATATTTCCAGCTAACCCATCTGTCTCAGTCACAGGCTTTTGAAAACAAACTACAATTTACAGGTCTGGCTTTCTGAAGGCCCCAACAGCAGCTTGTGTGCAATCAAAGCTTACCTCCCAAGCTTTATCATATCATTACCGACCCAGTGCTGTGAGAACAGTATGAGATGGCAAAACCACACACAAAATAACACGTTTTGCACATGGTCTGTTCCTGCTGTTCTACAAGACTTGTAAAACTAGCAACACCGAACATCTGCTTCTGGTTTACAAAACCTGCTCCTCCATATTCACTGTAATTTAAGAAGTGAAAACCTATAAAGTAGATAGCACAAAATGCACAATGCACATCCAAAACACAGTATTGCCTTCAGAAGACCACTAGAACCAGATGCTTTTGCCATTCGAAGAAAGCTAGTGGGGCAGCAGAGCGCTCCACAGTTTGCACTAGGAAGAAACACAGATGACATGGATTACTAAAATGTAGGGCAACTGATCAGCTGCAGCCATGTAGATGAGGAAAAACACATACTTTATTGCTGCTAATGAATCAAAAATGAAAAAAAAAAAACCAAAACAGATCACACTGAACAAAAATGGGAACACATCACTTCTTATGTTAGAATGACCTGGTAAACTTTATGACCTGTGTAACTTCGGCCAGAACACAAACACTTGTGTGTTTCCATGGCATGTCAGATGACTTGTAGGAGCATATTAGCTGGCAAAACAAAAAATCAGCCTGTCACCAAGACAACTATGTGCCTTAAACTGATCCTGAGGGCAAAGAGGCTTAAGTTTTGGTGACCAAAGTGGAGAGTGAGTTCTGAACAGGAAGGTCCCCTGCAGAAAAAGCACCTTGTGGACTTCAGTCTTCTGATTCCAAAACCAAAGCATCCTAGTCTGCTATAAACAGGGTAAGCAGGTGAAAAGATAAGGTCCTGTCACAGAGACAACTTAGCTCTGGTCTGGGACTTCCATATAATCAATATCATTTTCAGTCATGGTATACGTTGGATTAGAAACAAGCTCATAAACACCTGTTCTACTGACTAAACTCTGACGTTTTTGAGTTTGTTGAGATCTTTAAGAGTGTTATCAGTGTTTTAGAAACAAGAAGAAAGAAATGCCCTTTGTTCCAACTACTGGGAATGCTTATAAATAAAAAGTGAACATCATATAGCCAACAACCGGCTGCTGCAAGAACACTCTCCAAATTTGCAGCTGCTCCCTACCATAACAGAACATTGACACAAGGATATTGTACCCATGCCTTACCTAAGCAAGTTGTCAAACAAGATACCCATTTAATAGCTATCCAGCCTCGAGCCAAAGTGTGAGCGAATACTGTGCCCAGGTGGTTAAATTTAGGTCCTCTCTGGCCAGTGACATTCAGATGAAGGCACACCGGTGGCGTTAGCATAACCAGAAATTGTTGCTGAAGGAATAGCTTTTAAGGAAATATATGGAGGAAGCTAAGGGAGAGCATGTAACTTCAAAAAGAAATAGATTATTCCCAGCTTGCACAGTGGCATGAAAGAGTAATAATGTTAAGAGTATGAAAGGAGCAAAACATTACACTTGTAAAACTGCTGCTAAGTCACAAGGGAAGAAAAGAGGTTCCTTGATCTCTAGAGGTTCTTTCCAACCCCTAGTATTCTATGGTTCTATGAAAGAGAGTGACTAGGAGGAGACTTTAAAGGAGGGGAACGGAGAGGCAGTGTGGTGAGAGAAGGTGTAAAGAACTTGGATGTCAGGTAAAAACTTGAAGGTGAGGATGATGAGATTGGGTGAGATGCAGACTTAAAGGGTCTGTATGACAATAAGTGATGCTGCTGGAGCAGAGAAGGAGCAAGTACTATGTGTTAGAAAAGCAGAGGATGGTGATTGCTGCCAGCACAGGCAGAAGAGGTGAATGTGGGCATGCGCTTTGTCTACTCTCTCAGACAGTGAGGATACAAGCGGTCGCTTTCTGATAGCACTAATACATGGCAATAGGTAAATCTTATTTCCTATACAAAAATCCTATTTACCTATGCTTGCAGTGAGGACAAGGAAGCATGTCAGAATTTGCAGCTGTCCATAACCTTGTATCACACACTGTTTGGACTACTTGTAGCATATTCTCCAAGTCATAACCTGGAAGACAAATGGTAGTTGCCACAACCACCCAGAACCATCCCACTGAGATGGCTACTAACTACCAAGCTAGCCAGAATAAACT